GGTTCTTTGAAGGATTTAAACTGTGCTTTAGTTAACTGTTTCATCCCCACTTCCCAGTTTAAGCAGCTTAGACCTTAACAAGACACAGAAAAGACCAGACAGCTGTTTTCCTATTTTAAACCTTTAGTTTAACATCAAGAGTAGATTTATCCATAGAAAAGAAACTATTCTGAATCTCTGTGTCTTTAATGCACAGTTAGATTCCACTGCACATAAGAACAAACACTCTGTCTTGAAGAGTTAATCTTATCTGAAAAGCAACAAAAAACCCTGCAGAGAATCTGACAATGCAGGCATAGAGCTGCAGGAAAAAAACCTGAACAGCTGATTGAAAAGACTTCTTAAACAAAGCCAAACAAAATGAACAGTGAATAAAAATTTCCTCATAGTTGACCAATAGTAATAGAATCAAAACCAATCAAATAAACCTACTGCAACATCCTCTTCCAATTTACTAAGTGTTAATTCTGCATCATCTTCTGTTATTTCTTCTTCTTCTGGTTCTTCTGTTGGGTATGCTGGCCTGAAATTAATTCAAAGAACAGCAGAACTTTTAAACACAATAAATTGTAAATACCTCTGCAAACAAAACATGTCATGAGAAAAATGGATGATACGGAATATACCTAGATAGTGATTAGTGTTTCACAACTTAAATAAATATATACTCTGCCTTGAAAGTCTTGTTCATCTTGGACTGTCTGAAAAGTAAAGGCAGTACAATACATTCACACTACAAAGTCACCTAGGAAGTAAATTTTGGGGTTTTTCTCTATTGGTCTAAGCTCTTAAAATTCAAGTGCAAGTCATCACAGGCTTATTTGCAGCCTACAGTGGAATTAGTGTACTGAAGAAAAATAACAGTAAAATATTTCCAAGGTAGAAATTACTTTGCTGTATCTATTTCAAAACCCATTTGAGGAAAAGAATGAAATAAAGAACACTTTTAAAGACATTTTCATATACTTGAGATTATCTGTCATCTGATTTGTGCTAAGATTTCCTTCAGATGAAATAAAATAAGTCTATTTGTAACATGATCATACTGTGCATAACTCCAGGAATTTACTACTGATTGATAGAACATAAAAAGACACGACATGTTTCAACTCAAATATAGATTAACAAGGAGTTATGTGTAGGGAAATAACAAAAAAAAAAAAAAAAGGTCACCAGTTAAACATTAATTAGCTACATCTATAATGGTCAAACTCAGACTTGCTGGCAACAGACCAGCTGTGTGAAACTGCATTAGGAATTAATTGGTCACCCTGCTTCAAGTCTAGTTGAATTTTCCATCTCATGAAATGTCAAGTAAAATGTTTTTAGTCATTCCCATGATTTATTTTACCACTACAACTTACATCTGCTGGAAAACAACACATAAGGGATGATGCTTATAAGTGTACTGTACCTTTTCCAGCTAAACCCAGTGTTTTTCAAGGCTTCTTCAGCTAAACAATCAAGAACATAGCACACTTGCTCTCCGCAGCCTGTCTTTAGTTTTGAGGGAGGAAAATCCACAGGCCTTCCCTAAAATAAAGAGACAGGCTGTTTACAAATGGCCTAACAATCCAAATTTCCCCAAAGGGAGGTAAGTTTTGTACACTAAAGCCAAGAGTCTTGTGTATGAGATTTTATTAATGACAATTTACATTCTTCTCCTGTGCAGCTCCAGTGAGGCAACAGAAGGAAAAGCAGATGAAGCCAAGGAACAGATGCAGTGTAGAAATATTTAAGGACATGGTAAGAGCATACTCCCAGGTAGCAGGAAAGGCAGAAGCCACAAGAGATATGGATGGTCAAGCACACGAGCGACAAGACAAGAACAGCTACAGAGAAACTCAAGTACTGAGACTTAACTACAAGCTTTTCAACAGCATCCTGCATGCTCCAGATGTTACTTATAAGATATTTTAATTTATTGCTGTCATGCAGAATAAACATAGTAGTTTGATATAGTTTAACTCCTTCAGAGAAGTGTCCTTCATTCACAGCTGTACAAGAGTATAATCTTCCATAAGATCATACTTCTTGTCAGTTTATATATAATCTCCTGACCTTTGGAGTTTGGCTTTCTTCCTTCCTTTTTTAATAATAAAAAAAAATCTCAGTAGTTTCTGGCTGTTTGTATTCATTTTACTCTTCAACAAAACAAAACAAAACAAAACAAAACCCAAAAAAAAACCCAAAAAAAGAAGACACAAGCACTATTCTAAACCACTTCCTACACTACAAAGACACTACAAATAAAGTCATTCACTTTGGCCGGAGCAGGATATCACAAGCTGTGTAGCCCTTCCAGATAAAATCTCTGAAAATTATGCTACTATAAATGAGCAACATATGTGGCACTACAAAAGGTAAGCCTGGTTTAATCCATCTTACAGACTGCAGAACAAAACTAACTGGAATCATTTATAAGACCATTTTTGTAGTGCTAAAAAAATTAGCAAGTGGTTAATGAGACAGAGTGAAAATTTAACAAAGTAGAAATCTATTTAGATTTAAGTGAAATGTGCCGCTTTAAACTTGCTAACATAAGTGAAATATGCTATTTAGTCTAGTAACTACAACACTAGCAAAGTTATCCTAGCTAAAGGAAAAAAAAATACAAATTTCCACACGAAAAAAGTAAGAGATAAAAAAGACTCCTCAGACCTTGAAACAAGCAAAGTAACCCAGGAGTTCTTTCTATACTTTTTGACAAAAACTAAGTAACTAAAAATATAACACAAAATCAACAGAATAAATATGCATAGAGCTATTGTAAAATTCTATGCATATGAAAATTAATAAAAGTAATTTAAAAAAATCAAGAGTTCTCAAAAGTACACATACCCTTTAAAAAGAAATCCCTGCTGCACGATAAATCCCAGTGTACGTCCAGCACTATAAACATACCGCTCCCTACAAATCTTTATTAAAATTATAAGGTTTTAATTTTTCATCCACATTTCAGTACAGCCTATGTAAAGTTCCAATTAACTAAGTAACACAGTACAAACTTACAGCTAGGAAAATCTGTCCAGTCCTTGGGACCAGACCCAGCAGGAGAACAGTGTGTGACTGCTGTTATTTCTGAGGGGAATGCAGGCACTTGGGACATTGTGTGACACAGGACACGTGTGACACTCACAAAGGAGCGCAGCTCTGAGAGCACACTGGAGATGACGGCGTTGGGGTCGTCGTACTCCTGCGGCTGCTCGAAGGGACGCCCCGCTTTGCTGATCAGCCACGCGGCGAGCGTGCAGAACATGAAGAACTGCTCGCCGGGGTTGGTGGGCAGCGCAAAGTAGTGCCTGTTTAAAAGGGAAACAAGTGGTACATCTTGTGAGTTTCTGCAGATTACAACATTACAGGTAAGCACAGACTACAGACCAGTTTCCTTACCCGTTTTCCTCAACTAAATTCAGGATGCCCAGTTTCACACATAACTACAGCAGACCAAGTTTTCTACATCTTTCTACACTACAGCTTGCTTATTTCCACCTATAACTAAGTTATTAGTCAACACCAGACTTGGCTGCCAAGTTCCCCAAATCACCTTTCACACTTTCCTCAAGAAATGCAGGAGGATGGTATTCCTACATTTGCAAATTCAGCTCAGATGAGGAGCATGTTTTGAAGTGATCATTCTGCCTGTCGTTACCTACTGTGCTTTGGGTTGCTTTGGAGAGCAGTGAAAACTGGATCTGACTTGGATCACACCAAATTCAAATATGTGGTCCTAACAAGAAATCAATCCATAAAACCAGACCACACCCCAAAGTATAAATTACATGCACGCTGCACACTGGGAACTTCTGGAAATCCTTCTCTTTATCAACACAGCTACTCACTAAGGCACACAATGGTCTGCTGTCCTGCTCCAAACATTCCAATGGCTCAACAGCAGGCTAGAACTAATTTACATCCACTGTGCTCACACTTGAGCCTCCTTCCCAAAAAGGGAGTAATTTGGACCCCCTTACCAAACTGTTGCTTGTAAGAAGCTTAATTCTGTGACAGCCTGCAATGGAGCCTGGCTAAGAGTGACAAATGGGTTTAAAAGTTATTTGGGCAGGTGGATATCGGGAGCACATTGGTCCTGTTTCCCAGGCTTCCTGTCTCCACCATAATTTAAAAGAAAGACATAAAAACCATTACATATGAAACAAATATATACTGAATATGAAACCCCAGCCTTACCAAAAGCGGGTCCAAGACCCTCTTTGTAAAGGGTTAAAAAATACACATATCCCACGAATAGCTATCCTGAATTCAAGATATTTACAGTTATTTTGAACTGCTTGGAATTTAGGCAGAGCTATTTTCTGCGGAATAGGTAGAATTTAGGTAGCATTACTTTTTGCACAGGTACCCTGGCACGCAGATACCCAGTACCTGCCGGGGGCAGGGAAGGTCAAGGGACTATTATTATTATTATTATCTCAACCTTTCGGTTCCAGCTCACACGGGAAGCTTTGCAACTGGCTGCTTGTCCCTTGAGGTGATTTGGACCAATTCACCGGACTTGTCCAAGGTGGACAGGTATAGGTATAGGGACTTGTCCAATTCACCGGACTTGTCCGAGGTGGACAGGTATAGGTATAGGGCCACCTATACTTAACCCGGAAAAGGAACATATATAATTTATGTGTGTTCGAAAAGCAGGCATCCTGCCATGGAAGGCTCTGAGGGCCCGGAGCGAGCCCGTCCCGCCGCCCCCCGCCCGCGCCCTCAGGCCGAGGAGGAGGCGCGGGCCGGCAGCACCTGGATAGAGGCCGCATGTTATGGGGCCGCAGCGCCTCCTCCTCGTAGCTCAGCAGTTTCAGCTTGTCCAGCAGGTCCTCCATGAGCACGAACATGTGAAAAGCCGCGCCGGGGCCGCGCTCCGCCGCCGCCTCCTCGCTCCGCTCGCCGCGCCGGCCCGGAGCGCTCTCCTCCGCCATGTTCAGCCGTAACCACAGCGACAGGGCGGGCTCGCACGGCGTGAGGGCGGCGCCGCTCCGGGCACCCGCCCCGAGCGAGGTATGTGCCTTTTCGCTGGTCGATCCTTAGATTTTTCTCTCTTCTGGAAGAGAAGTGTCGGGACGCCTCGCTCCGGGCAGCGGCGGTGGCTGACGGGCTGAGGTGCGGTGCGGTGCGGTGAGTCTCGGCAGCCGAGAGCCGCAGCTTTGCCCGCGGGTGCCGGCTGGAAGCGCCTGGGGCGGGCTGCGGAAGGCGGCGGGGAAAAAGGGAAAGAGGGAAAGCTTCGTCTCCCTGGAATGTGCTTGGCACTGGTGAAGCATCTCGAGTGCTGTGGCCATCTCTGGGCACCTCACTCACTACCAGACAGATTTCGAGGCGCTGGAGCGTGTCCAGAGAAGGGCAGCGGGGCTGGCCAAGTGCAGTGCCCATGAGCGGCCGCTCAGGAAAGACCTTGCCAGTCTTGACATCCTCCTAAAAATGAAGTTTTAGCCAGGTGCGGGTTGGTCTTTTCTCCCAGTTAGCTAGTAACAGGACAATAGGACATAGACTTAAGTTGCGACAGGGTTTAGATTGAATATTGGGAGGAATTTCCCATTGAAGGGGTTTTCAAGCATTGCAATGAGCTGCCCAGGTACATCAGCATTCCTGAGTGTTCAAACGACTGGATGTGTCACTTAATGCCATGATCTAGTTGAGAAGTTCATCAGTCAGAGGTAGGACTCGGTGAACTCAGAAGTATTTTCCAACTCTTGCATTCACAGAATCATTTTGCAGCCAAAGTCTTTGAGGGGGCACACCCCTTCTTGCCACTTCTTCCTGCATTTCGTTTGGGGTTTTTTGTAAGCCCTCTTCCCGAAAAAACTTGAGTCGTTTTATTCTGTTGGAAGCCAGAGGCCATACAGGCCTTCACTTGTGGAGCGAATGAGTCACTGTTAAAGCACTGTTAGAAAATAATTACCTAGCTCTGCCGGAAGCCCTAGGCACCTACCTCTTATTTCAGGTGACCAGCTTTTTGAGAAGAGTGTCATGATTACTTTTACCTTACTTTCTCTTTCTCCTGGGCCCGCAGAGATCTGCCCTTGCTCCCCGTGCCACGTTCCTGCGCTCTGCCCTGGACGAGAATTGCCGCTGTCGCTGCCTGCCCAAGACTGCTGTAAGCTCACTTACTGCTCACTCCTTTCCTCTGTTACAGCTTGCAGGAACTTTGGGTTTGCCAGGCAAAAGAAATGGTTAAGAGAAAAAGTTTTTTAAAGTATGTTAGTTACTTGAACCCTGAGCCATACGCGTGGGGCGGTCAGAGTGCAGCTGGAGAGAGGTAAAGATCAACAGGGAGAGAGATTGTGGAAACTTTCTTCCATTCCCTAGACTTCCATGCATGTTTTTGAAAGTGTAAAAAGTGTGAAAGTGCTCTATATCTGCAGTATTTGCAAATGCAGTCAAATTTCCTGCCCCAGAAAGTTAAATGTTGCAGTAATCAGAAAAAGATTTTAAAACGTGAAGAAAATCAGGTTTGACAAGGGACATCTTATATCCTTTTGCAAATTTTACTTGACAGGTTTTCCTTGGTGTCCTGTTCAGAAATGAGGAAGCTTATATTCCCTAGCCCTGTAACAACACTGAGAGTAAAAACTTTATATTTATTAAAATTAAAGCATCAATCTGCAAGGGGCTACAAGATAATGAGTGGGCCTTCACTATTATGTAATGCATAGAATCACACAATGAATGACTTTAAAGTCAAAAATCTGGACCAAGTCTGTTGCAAAAAAAACATGGTAAAAGGGCTATAATTGTTAGCAAGCTGTAGAAAGGAAATTACATATGGACATGTCTTTTATCTGCATTTAAAGAGGTTTTCTCCCCTGCTTTTATTTTGCCAGTTTGACCTGAATCTACAAACCAATGAAGAAATGAAAGGACAGAACATAACAACTGTCATTATCTGTTTATGTCATGTCAGTGCTACACTTTGGGGTAAGTTTTAGCTGAAAAATAATAAAGAAAACAATTATTAATTTTTATTAAGGAGAGTTAGTGAATTCAAGCACTGCTTTTTAATGGTAAAGAATCAATTTTGGGTAATGTAGAACACTTCTGAAGCTAAAGACTGTTTATCAGGTGGCTTCATGGATGGATATGGCCACTGAGCCCCCCAGACCTGCCAATGTTTCTGCCCCACGGCTCAGCAGGCAGTGCTTTTCAGTTCAGACTGAAAATGGTTTGCAGCAAATTGGCTGACCTAGCATTGAGAAGACTAAGGAAAAGTCATTTGGGTTGTTCAGATGAGCCACAGACTGCGTCAGAATGTCTGAGAAGGCAATGCCCTTGGGCACTGCCTACCAGCCTAACAGGTTGCAGTTGGTTTTTTAAAGGATTAATTTTAAACTGCTCTAGTATGCCAGCAAGGCCTAAGTTAAATATTGACAGAAATGAGATGCTGCCACTTGTGTCAATTGGTGGAATGCACACCTTAATTATCTCAAGGGGCTGGGACAGAACTTCCTGATGCTGTCTGTGGTGGCAAAGCTGTTTCAAGAAGTTCTGTCCTTCCCATCAATTGCAGCACCATGTCTTTTTTCCCTGTGATGGTACAACTGCTTGGCACTGTGTGAGGGTGATTGGTAACATGGGGCATTGCAGCATGGCACTGTGAATGTTTGAACACGTAGAAAGATGCAGCTCAAAAGGCTTTTAAAGTCTAAGGTAGAAAAGATGGGGTTTGAGATGTGGAAACACATTTGAAGCTCAGGTGGTAAGTTGGCAGGGTGCTGATGTGAATATGTAGGTGCTTACTTGGGATTTCTATGTAAACTGATTAGAAGTTCAAAGAGCAGAGCTCTGTGTTATAATCCTGATTAAACTGAAGGGACATCCTTTCTGTCTTGAAAGACTCATGTGACAGAAAAGTCATGAAAGAGACTTTGGCACACCTACAAGAGCGTTTTTTTTGTCAGGGATAAAGAGGTGCAGAAATATACTTGTAGATTGGATTAAATTTACTCATTTGTACTTACGGGCTTTAGGTTTTACAGAACAGGAAGAAGTAACAGGGCTGTTTTCCAAGGATTGCATCCTCCCTTGTCGTTTCCCACCTGGGCACGATGAAGTAATTCACTGGAAAAAAGAGAACAAATATGTGCACAGTTACTACCAGCACAAGGATCAGCTGCAAGGACAGGATCCACATTACAGACTCAGAACACACCTTTTCCCCGAGAACATCCCTAGTGGAAATGCCTCCTTGAAACTTAGTAACCTGACCATGGCTGACGAGGGCCCTTACACCTGCTACGTGGGAACAGTGCAAGATCAAACATTGGTGCTAGTGCTGCTACACATAAAAGGTCAGTGAGGCATCAAAAACCCTTGATCACACCACTGCAAATGGGATAGCACCAGCAGATCTCCTTGTGTTGTTTCTCTCATGGAATCAAAATCCTCCAACCCAGCAGAGCACCTTTTGGGCCTGCTGGTGTTATGCAGCAGTTTTTTAGCTCTGGTGAGATATTGCAACATGGATTGGAAAATTTCAGTGCAGCACTTGTTTTCATAACCTACTGCATCCTGATTTCTAAGGGGTAATTATGTGGTACACATAATGTGGCTTCTCAGAGCAGTACAAATCTTGGCCTTGTAAGTAGCTGTGCTTTCTTCTGAAATCAAGCACAGATGAAGTTTTATTCTTGGCTGTATTCATTCTCCCCAATGGTATTTCAAAAGAGTAACCACTTCAAGTTAAAAACTATTTTGTAAGTAGTAGGATTTATTTTTTAATTTTTTGTTTTATCTACAGCTCCTTCTTCTTATGCACTGGAATACCAAAAGACAAACACAGAAAGGAGACTGAAGTGCTATGCTTTTCTCACTTACGTAGCACCAACTATATCTTGGGTACAGGGCAATATATCCGTCCAAGAGACAGATCGGGAGGAAACTAGGAATGGAGTTCTCTATTCTCTTAGAAGTGACAAGGACATTATAAACATGACAGATACTTACTACTGTCATATTCGTTTGGATCACGAAGTGTGGGCTGCTGAATGGAAGATGCAAGGTAGGAATGAAATCTCTCTCAGTATTGTTGCTGAATTTCACTGCTGGCTTCAGAGTGAAACTAAAGACAGTTTTTCTGCAGTGGGGCAACATGGATATGGGACAGTGCAAAAGAATATACCTTTCTCTCTGAAATGCATTTGTTAGGATTACAAGGCAGCATTGCAAGTTACTTACGAAAAGTAGGAATGAGAAGGGCTAGCTCACCCTTCTGTAAGTTGCCTTGACTCTTAACATCTTTTCTATATCATTCACATTTTAAGAGGTGCCTAATAAACAAACTTTATCCTCTTTCAATTAAGGAATTCTGCCCATTGGACAAATACATGGAAACCTTAGACAATATGTGTGTTCTGTGAAGGAGATGAAAGTTTGCCTGCTGCTCTAGCTGCACATAAATTTTACTCTGTCCATTTCCCATCTTTTGCCAGACTTTTATTGGTACTGTTTGATCATTTCACTGTACTTCTCTTCATATGCATGCTTAAGTACCAATGTGCTGGGGTGCATGGGAATGGAGAGCAGCAAACAGTTTGCATTTTAGGAAACAGCAGCTCATTTTGTTACTTAAGGAAAGGCAGGACTATGAAAGACTGCTTTGTCTTCCTCCTGAATTTCATTGGAAATTCGGTTTGAGTAAATAACTGGTGGTTTTCAACCTCTCCTGTTTCTTAGGGAAATATTTTTAATTGAAGGAAGAGCAATGCAAGAGCAGTTCTCTTGTGAAGTTTGCTTCCATCACCCTGATTGCCCCCTAAAGTGTTTGTAGACACTCAGTTCCTAACCCACTGCATAAACTCAAGAGTTCAGCTTTTAATTTACATGGAATAGCTTACAATATGAAAGGTTTCCAGTATGGCATCATAGTAGCTACCAAGTGCACTGTAAGTGTCTGATTTTTATCTCTGCCTGATCCACAAGAGAAAAAAGTACATATCATTACACATGTACTTGCATTTCCCTGCATTCATCTAACCCCTCAGTAGAATATTTTGAAAACAAACTGCTTTCCTTTTGTTTCTATAATAGCAGTGTGGGGTGCAATTTTGGTTTTTTGTCTTCATGATTTTCAGTCCCACACCTTTGTTCATTGAACCCCCCTCCCTCACAGAAATTGAGTGTAGTTATACCATGTCAAAATAATCTATTATCTTCCTCTCCAGCTGACTGCCAGCCACCACTGCTGTCAAATCCATAGTTGTGCTATGATGTTAATTTGTCTTGTATTAATATTTTATATATTAGGTGTTCGTTCCACTTACCTGCCTTCTCCTTCCCTTTCCTGTTTTTTTAAAGCTATTTATTAATTGTTAAATGTTCAACATAGAGAAGTAAAGTCCTTAAGTTCACCGTAACTGAAAGTTATTTCTAACTACGTACAATCTTTTTATTCTTTTAGTTTAATTATGTTGTGTTTTATCGTTTTGCTTCAGATGTTCAGGTATCTGATCCGTTCCATTTTCTCTCTGCTCCCAGCATGTGGAATTTCCTGCTCTTTTACATAGTAACATAGAGTAGACTAAATAACTTCTATTAATGAGCCCCTCAATTAGAGGAAAAATAGTCAAATTTTTTAAAAAGGATATTCATAAATATTGCAAATATCAATTAGATTTTTTAGTGTAAGATGCATGTGTTTTTAAAATCTTCAGATGCTTCTAGAAACATACTGTGATATTTGAATGCAATACCAAAGTAGCGAAATATGTTTTTGTATTTGTTCACGGTAGTATCAAACCTAAGAAAAAAAATCACAAAATGTCTAGATAACCTTCACAGTATTTTCCAAAAAAAGTGCTGAGAGCTCTTTATCTGTTTCAGACCACCTGCCTAAGGTGGAAGGAGAGAGCACCGTAATTCCTTGTGAACACGGCAATGACACTGCAAGCACTGATAGTTTCAGTGTTGTCTGGACATTTCACAGAAATGCAGTGACCTCAGTCCTGGCCTCCTTCAATGGCACGTCTCACTCTCACCATCCTCGAGCCCAGGTTAACGAAAGTGACTTCTCACTGAGGCTGGATCATCTTACTGCAGGCGACAGTGGAGAATATCTCTGTAATATCTCAACACCTCTCTACACAAAACTTGCTGTGACAACTTTGCACGTCGGTAAGTTGCTGCTCCTTTCATTTCAGAGGGTGAGGACCAGTTAGGACAATGCACAGCCAAAGAGTCAATCAGAAACCTCAAAAACAATTACTACATAAAAAGAATCAATGCTACAAGAATGAGTAAAAAACTAGTCATGGAAACAGCTCTGGAGTTCAGAATATACTCCTTGAGGGGGGACATTGTCTCCACTGGAAGATGCTTTTCAGTGTGAATGTCTTCAGCCTTCATTACATGAATGGGTGAGGGTGTAGTTGGGACAGCAGTGATGGCTGTTTGCCAGCTCTCAGGACACTGATGCAACATGTGCTTACTTTTGTGTAATTTGATGTGATTGGTACCATTGGGCGAAAGAGAGACATATTTTAGTTTTGTTGGCTCAGGGGAAAAAAAAAAAGTTACCAAAGATGTGTTTATTTACAGACTAGAAGCTTATTTTTTTCAGTCAGCAGCTTATTGTGGCAAAGGTTACCAAATCTGTCTGCCTTCAGTTGCCACCAACTGCTCTCATAGCTGAGGACACAGCAGGGCTCTGGGAATTCTGACAGCAAACATAGCTTTAAATGTAACAGAGAGATGATGGGAAGCCCAAAGCTTGTGGTATAAGTTGGCTGCAGAAGAAAGCTGATTGAGAACACACAGTTGTTATTTTCAAAGCTTTAATTCTACACAGCAGGCCTTTTTTAGGCCTGGGGATATATATGTTTAAATGCCTGTGTTTTTATGAGCTATAGTAAATTCCCAGCTGTGAAATCTTACTTACAGTTATTTCATTGTCAGTAGCACATAAAACAGTAGCACACAGACATTTCACACAATTACATACAATCACTGAAAAGAATGAGAACTAATAAAAGACACCTATTCTAAACAAAGAAGAGAAATTGAAGCAAGCCAGCAAGACATGAAAAAGAGAGACAACATAACAGATAAGGGGGTAGAATAAGTGATAATAACTACAGATGAGCACCTTTGTGGCTTTCAGCACAGCCTGAAAGCAGGTAAGTGGCTGGAGACAGTAGGGAATGGGCTAGACTGTGTTGGCATCCATAGCACAGCAGCTTCTGAGCCATCAGAAGAGTTTCCAAGGGATGCTGAAAAGAAGGCTTTTGAGGGGAAAAAAGAGATTTACAATCACCTCCTGTGTAAGGAAGGGTTGTAGCTTAAAGCTGCTCTTCTAAAGGAATTTACAAGATATAAACATAGGTCTGCATGTGGTTACAGAGTCAAGCTAAAGGCAATGACTAGATTAAATGCTCTGTTTTAGCAGTTCTTATTCTTTAGCTGTTTTTCAGACATCCATAGGAAGTTTCCAGAGGAATGTAGAGTTTTTCAAATTCTTTGAACAAGGCACAGCAGGGAAAAAGACAACCTGAGATAGAAGAGCCATACAGTTCTTCTGAGAGTTTGGTGCTGTGCAGAGGTTTCTTCTAGGTGGGCTTTGATCTCCTGTGGAATCCATGGTTATCACTCATCTCAGGATTTCTTGTGCCCACCTGGATTGTATGGTTGCGCTATGAAGCTGGGCAACGTTTCAGATTAAAGTTGCAAAGATTTTGCAGCAGGAGTAATGAAATTTATGATCCAGTCTGGATAACATTTATGGAGCTGCTCTACTGTAAATCAGCAGTGCTGTTAATGGCACTGAGCATCATACCTGGAGACAGTGTTTAGCACTTCTTGTATTAAGAAGTTGTCAAATCCTATCCCATGAGCACACATAGAATTTGCTATCAGCACAATTAAGTGAAAAAATCTGCTTTCAGTATTCACACTTAAGTCAGTAAAGTATCACTTCAAAGTCTTACAGTATGAGTCAAGTAACTTGAACATTGTTGTCCTTGTCTCAGTTTCCTTTTAATGTTTCTTTTTCCCTAAATCATACCTTTTAGATTATATATAAGAAAAAAATCATAGCTTTGATATATTTATTGAACAATAAGCACTTCTTTTTTCTACTTGTATTTTTAAAGAAAATTCAGGTAACGCTGGGAAAATTGTGTTTGTTGCATTGGCAATAGCAGTGGCAATAGCAGTGGCAATAGCGGTACTTTGCTGTCTCAAGGTATGTACATCATTAGAGTACTTATTTTTTAAGATAATGTTATACCAAGCCCCTCAAGATTTGAAGAAGGGTCTGAGCCAAACTTTGGAACTTTAAAAAAATTGGTAATGAGTGCCTGTGGCTAGAGAGTTATGACTAAACAACTGCATTGTTAGCATTGTTTGCTAAGCTGATCTTCTGTTTTAAGAAAAAGGGAAGAGAATCCTAATGTGAACAGGCTGTCTGGACAAGGGGCACCAGGAGTAAAGTCAAAAGAGCTGAGCAATAAGTGGGGAAAGGTCATTCTGGCACTGGGAGATTGAAACCCATTGACCACCTCCTCAAAATGGACCCCCAACTCAAATTGAAAGGAAATACCTAAATCCAGACCTTGAATGTTTGTCTGGAGATTTTGTCACAGTCTGAATTTGGTAAGCTTCAGGAGAGATTTTATGGGTACCATGAGGTACAGCAAAAATACATGAGAAAGAAAACTCTGAAATTATTATGCCTCAGTCTTTTTTTTCCTCTGTACACAGAGATTCACTTGCATGCTGCTTATTAAACAGCTGTAACATGCTTTAGAGATGATAATATACTTCGAGATGCAGTTGTCTACACAATTTAAGCAAGATTAGGTTATCTTGGGACCTGTTGGGGTTGTCAAACATATTGTAATCAGAAGAAGTGGAACAGTTGACAGGTTAATTCAGTTCTGGCTACATTGATGGAGGACTAGATGGAAAAACCAGGCATGTATCTGCACTGTTGTGTGGGTGCTTATTTTACTCAGATAAAACTAAAATGGAAAATGCTGACTTACCTTCATGGTGATTGTGTCTTGTTCTTGTTCCCCAACTAGGGGATTCATTGTACACATCAGTTGTTCTTAAAAATATTTTTATTTTGTCTAGAAGAGAAGGAAGAGAGGAATCATATGAACACCTTGACATACAGGAAGAAAGTAGCTCTCTGCACACAGATACTACTGACATTAGTGATGAAAACAACCAAGAGTTCCTCCACCTTCCCCTTTGAGTTACAGTAAGCACCACATGCAAATGTGATTTTCTGAGCAACAGTAATGGACAAATGGGGAGGAAGAAAGTCAATGGACACTCGTATGTGAAAAGTCGTGGAGCATCTCACCCCCCACATGAGCTTACCTGTTGCTTTTTAACTGGTGAGTTAAACCAGACAGAGCTGTTGTGTAGGGAGTTATTTTGGCACCATGGGATTCTCATCTGGAAAGATAAACTGGAATTCTGACTGACAGGCTCCTGCCTTTACAAACTGTATAAGCTGTGTGAAACTTTCACAATGCAGAAGTCTTCCACACATTTTCTTGGAAACTGGAGTTTCTCCTCAGAGCAGGGACGCCTGCTTTGCACTTAGTCCTCTGGTGGCTGAGTATTTCTTTTGCTAGTTTTAATATAGGTACCTTGTTATCATGTACTGTTTCATGTAATCTCCTGGTAGTTCTTTTGTTTTATACTGTCAGAATTAGCTCAGGTTAAGATCTTTCATGTGTTACCTCCTGGCTGTTCAACAAATACCTCATTTTATAAATAGATCTGATATGCCATCCTTGGAACTTGCAGGCCAGAGTGATTTCTTAAATTTAAGCTGTTGTCAAAAATCTGAGGCTAAGGCAGGGCTTGTGTGAAGCTCCCATTCGCCCTGTGACAAGTCAGCATGCAAAATTGAATTTCCTAAAGGGATAAGGACATTTCCAGAGAAGAAATCCCTAAATTTTAAGGTTTTTTTTTTTTCCAGGGCGAAGGAAAAAGAGCTTACTGGTTTTCATTTCATTTTTTATTTTATTTTAAAATAAAGACCATGTCTGCTGTCGACAGCAGTGAGTCTGAGCCCAGCAGAGCGTGCTGGGCTGGCAGTGATGGGGGAGCAGAGGAGTGTCAGAGTGGGAACAGCTGTGGGAACACAACAGTGGCAGAGTGAGGTGTGAGAAGCTGAATGCTGCCAAGCACAGCCCCTCACAGCAGTCTGGAAAATGGGCTGTGTGACATGGACCATCCAGCTTTTGGGGGTTTATCCATCATTGTTCTCCACAGGCTCAGGGATAGGAGCCTCCCCCACCATCCTGCTTTTGTCTTGGGGGCCACATGGTGTGTAGGAATGGTCTTAGTCTGGAAAAACACGTGGAGCTGGCAGCACTGGGGTGGATACCATCTTGTCCTTGTCCCAGGGGACCACATGGACATGACCTACAGGGAGTGTTCACCATCTTGTCTTTGTCCCAGCAGCCACGTGGAGCTAAGTTGAGGTGGTGAACATCTTTTTGTGGGTAAAGCATCTCTTCTTGTATACTTTTGTTATTAACTTGTTGCTTTTTGCTGTCAGTAAATTATCTCAACCCACAGTCTCTGCTTTTTTTACCAGAAAGGGGTGGGAGGAAGGGGAGTGGCTTATTTGGAGTTTAATTTTCTGGGTCGTGTTAAACCACCATGGATCAGTTCCCTGTTTAAAGGCAAGAAAGATTGAAGAGAATTTGTTATTTCTGAGCCACAGGGAGGTGTCCCTTGACACCATATCCTGTGCCTATCCTGCAGCTGGCAAAGAGAAGTCCCTTGACTGGTGGTAGTGGAAGCTTGTAAATGGATTATTTATATGGAAATCTTTACTTTCTCTTTTCCAAAACTCAGGGTCCTCCAGGCAGGACAAATGGAACCTGGGTTATCCCAGCTTTAAGGGCTGTCCCTTCCACAGGTTTAATCTGTGCTGCTGTTGTGTTTTTGCAATAGCCATGAGGGGGCATGACCAGAACCCTAATGTTATTTGATACTACCCCACCTCACTGGGGAGAGGGACTGTCTGTGTGGTAAAAGGGGTTCCTTCAGGGAGGGGCCCAGGGTGAGCATTTCTCTATGTGCATCACCCTCTCTTTTGTATACTTTTTTAAATTAATATTGTTGCTGTTACCATTAATTTTCTTATTTCATTGCTGTTTCCAGGAAATTGTTCTTAGCCTGTGGTTTTTCACCTTTTGTGCTTTCAATTCCCAACTCCATTCTGGGAGTGGGAAGGGAAGGGAGAGCAAGAGAATGGCAGTGTGGTTTGAGAGAGTGAAAGGAAAAGTACTGTTATAAACCAGGATAGCTGCTTTAACAATCTGCATATAAAATATGTGAGGCTGTGCAGCATGACTGCATTTGCCCTTAGTTTTGATTTTGTTCAGAGATCTGCCAATTAGGATTTGTTCCAACATAATGAAGTCGGCTGTTGGCAAGATGTAATCTTCTATTGATCCCTAAGGCTTGGCAAAATAAAAAGTAAATAAATGAAATACGCTATACAGTCTGTTTAGATTTTCACTTGATGTTTATTTCTGTAAGTGCTTATTTTTTTCTGCATCTGCTTTCAGTTGTGCCTGATTATGTCAAGTATTTTCTCATATTTGTCAGCTTGGACTTTTTTATTCCTCTTCATGAACCTGAAAAGCAATTGAGATAGTATGCAACTGTTAAAAACAGAAATGCCAAGAGGTTTTAGTGTGAGTTCACAAGACAGTGACAAAAGCTGCACTAATGCTTCTGTTCCCTGGTATTTGGTATTCTGTTTCCTGGTATTATACCAGTTTGTATCTGATATAGACTAGCAGCAGTCTAGCCAACATTTGCCATCTTATTCCAGCTAACAATGCAGATATCCTGTCCTTGTTGTAGATTATATAGATCCTTGTGATGGCAGAGGACTTCCACAACCCTTTTTTAATAGATGGTGATGCTCTGAATGACACACACTCCCCACCTGAATGTACTTCTGGCAGCTCCTGCATTTGCTGCCACAAGCAGCAAATGTTCCACCGAGCTCATCTTTTGGCAGAGCAACACTCTGCTCCATTGCCAGAGCTGCAATCGGTGTTGGCAAACAGCATCTGACTAGTAAAAACAGGCATCCACTTTTCTGTGACTTCTGCATGTTTGAAGCATTAAGATGGTACCAGTAAGGTACAGGAAATAAACAGCAACTTTAACAGTATTTAAAAAAATAAATTATTCTCATGGTGTACCTCTTTCAGTGTTTGTTTGATGCCATGGCTTTGTGAATCTCTAAATGAATCTATATTAATTTTTTTTAATTATTATTATTTTTTAGGGATAGAATAATTTAGAAAAATCTGTGGAAATTTTTTATCCTTAAAGGCTGCAAATCTTTTGAGGTTCCATTACAGCACTGCTTCCATTGTACATAAATGTGTGATAAACCAGATATTCAGGTAGCTTTAATGTATCTTTGCTCTGGTGGAGCAGCAGTAATTTATATCAGTCCCAGGTGATTTCATTAGGTGGAGCAGCAGTAATTTATATCAGTCACAGGTGATTTCATTAGGCCAATACAAAAGCAGAAATTAAGAGTGTAAAGGGCTTTTATCCCCTTAGCTTGGGAACTATCAACTCCATAAAACATATGTGATGTTAAGCATGGAAATTTGTTAAACTTGCAAATGAAATAGATTTAGCAATGACCCAGTTCCTGTTCCTATCATTCCTCACTCTTTTTTGCCCTGTTTGCCACAAGGCAAGCATAGATAAGTTTGCTTTCAGTTCCAGACTAAGTTATTCAGTGCCTTCATCAACATTACTCTGCTACCATTCAGTTCAAGTGCAAAACACCACAAATATATTTCTAATCACTAATGACTTCCCAGCACCTAAATGACTAATCACCAATATTTTCTTTTCATCCAGCTCTTCCAGTCAATACAAGTTCATTGAAAGAGCAACGTTAAAATATCTGCTAATGTGGTAATACCCAGGTTTTACTATATACATAGAAATCTACATCATCAGGGAGAGAAAAAGGTGGAGTCTTTTAATATCCTTTGCAAAAAGAAACCCCAAAGCCCAAAACAAACCCACCAAATCACCAGTTCTGCTGCTGAGAACAGAGGTTAAATGACAACAAAAATACAGAGAATATATTTTGTCTAAGTGTCAGATTGCTGTCCTACAGGGTTATCTTAATATTAAAATAAAGGGCAGAGTGAAACAAAACAAATGTAGGAACCCAAGAATTTCCTAGTCTACACTGCTTTCAGAGGTGTAACAGATACAGAGCATCCACTGCTGTGTGTTAAACACTCACATCTACCCCATACAGTATGACCATACCTTTTTCATGCCAATGTCTCTTGACTTGCTCCTCAGCTTATTAACTTGAGATTCAGCTATTTCAGCCCTTTCTTCAGCATCATCCAGATCATGCTGCTGTTTTCTGTACTTTGAGAGGTACAGATTGGCTTGAGCTTCCTGGTGAGAAAAAAAGAGTACAGCTGATTTCCTCCTGTCCACATGAAACAAAGCTTTTAATTTCGAGTGGGATGGAAAGTGCTCAGCATGAGTAGGTAACAGCTGTATGGGCACCACTTGCCTCCTGCAGAACTGAGATTGTTGTTTTACAGGGTTGATATTTCTAGTGGCATTTTCCATGTTAAGTGAACTGAGAGGCTCTCAATGTGTCTTCTCAGGGGCTGAGGGGCTGTTCTTTCCCTTTGTCCCCTTCTCTTGCAAATTACACTGCAGTCTTAGGCTAAAATGGCATACTTTTTCTTAAATATAATCAACACATATGCTACATATTTTACTTTATATATAATGCAAAACAGTTATTAAAAGAATTATTTATGGACACAAAATGTGTATTTGTACTAGAAGTTTCTATGGATAAAAAATTGTGGGTTTAGAGCAATACATCTCTCAAAGGTAAAAAGACCCAGATGGTTACTCACAGCTTCCTCTGCTTGGTGCTTGTAACTCTTCACTTTTAATTGTAGCTTGTCAATCAGATCCTGCATCCTGGCAAGATTCTTCTTATCTTCTTCTGACTGTATCAAAACACCATTAATTGGGCTGATAGAGGAAAAAGGCTTAGAGCATCTACCACAGTACAAGAATTATGGATGCCATACATATTTTTGAAACTTATAGCTCAAAGCACAAACTAGCCATGTCCTGTGTACACATAAGAAAAATTTCTACATCGTCATTGAAGATACGTGTGTGGAGAGTGAAGACTGAGATTACCCTTCCTGTGTATAGATGTGTAAATATAAATGTATGTAAATAAAGATATATATGTGCACACATTTTCAGAGGTGTGCAGATACAGGCAGAGTTCCTTGCTCGGGGTGAGGAGCACGCTTGTCATTATAAATCGTGTCATTATATGTTGATGCAGATATGGGTGAGCCTGGAACTATGTTATTTGCATAATTTGAAGTTTTTGGTAAAAAAAGCCTTGTTTAAGCTGTCATGCTCCATAAGCAGAGGGACCAGCTCATTCTGCCTGCACACTGTATTCAAAGAAAACAACCTTCAGCTTCGGCGTACGAAAGTCAGAATAAAACAACAGGTAGGAGGCTAAATAATCTCCTAAGGCAGATGGATGGGTTTATCTTCTTAATGCTGTTGAAAGCACAAGGATAAGTGCTCTGTCCTGCAGGCCTTTTTTGAAGGCCAAGCAGCATGAGCAGCTGTTAGCAAACCTGCAGGAGGCTCAAGACTAGACCCTGCTGCTCAATAATAGGTGACAGAGCCCTGGGACTCAGCCACCCTACACTGAGCAGGGCATTAGAGCCACCTGAGTCCTTATGGCTCCTTTTAGCAACAGCAGCACAGCTGAGAGGGAGCTGGGGTCTGTCTTCCCTTGCATTGTAAATAGTCATTGAGGCCTGTTCAATATTAATACTGTGCTAAAAATGTCCAAATCCCAGCAACAGAGACGTTCTAACATTAGTTACAGCAAACCAGGCAAGAGGATGACAATCACCGGCACAGATTGCCCAGAGAAGCTGTGGATGCTCCATGCCTGGAAGTGTTCAAGGCCAGGTTGGATGGCTCTGAGCAGCCTGGTCTGGTGAAAGGTGTCCCTGCACATGGCAGGGGGGTTGGAATGAGATGATCTCCAAAGTCCCTTCCAACCCAAAGCATTCTGTGGTGGAAGCCACAGGGAGATGTTCCTCCTGTGCCTAAAGCTTCCAGCAATCAGAAAGCTCAGACTAAGGCCATCTTTCCTCCTTCCCTGTAACCCTGAGGCTGCTCAGGACGTGTCTTGCAGTGCCCTGTGCTTGCTGCATACCTGGTAAGTCAGCTCCTTTATGCGTCTCTCAAACTTGCGGGCTCCTTTCTGGGCGTCCGAATTGCGACGGAGCTCAGTCTCAAGTTCATTCTCCAGCTCACGAACCTGCAAAAAAGGCAAAACCCTTGCCATTATGCTACATATGTGTAAAGCACCAGATAATTTGGCTCACAGTTCAAGAAGTGTTTACTTGCTAGGTCTATCCATAGAGTCAAATTTCAGGAAGAGATCAAAATATCACCTTTCCACTCTGTTTTTTCATTAAAATATTCCAGCTGCACCATCAGTCAAAAGTGCAGACATGTGCAAAGGCCAAAAAAGTTTAACCAAAGCAAGCACTGGGAGAGGCTTTTGCTGAGTTTAGGTGCTGGGGCTTTTAACTCTTTTCTAATCAAGGGCTTTGTCATCTGCTGGCCAGCAGCTCATAGCTGGATAATGAAGGGGAATCATGCCTCCATGAACTGCTCACCTGCATTTTGTGAAACACAGGAAAGTGTTCATACTACCCCTTCTCAGCCTCTGTGAACTTACCAGGCAGCACTAGGCTACTGATCTGGTACCAATTCTGTAAGTAGAAAGTAGCGGTCTGAAGTTGGATCACAAACTTACCCTGGATTCCAGTTTTTGGATCTGCTTCTTGCCACCTTTCAGAGCTATTTGTTCTGCTTCATCCAGTCGCTTCTGGAGGTCTTTAATGGTTTGTTCCATGTTCTTCTTCATTCTCTCTAAATGAGCACTAGTATCCTGCTCCTTTTTGAGCTCCTCAGCCATCATTGCTGCCTAAAAAACAACCACATTTTACAGGAAATTCTGGATGCTGATGGATTATGTTTCAGAATAAATGGTGGAAGATCAGTCCTGAACTATCCCTTAGTTGGATAAATCACTGTGGCCAAAGCTCCACAGAATACCTTCTGTGTGCATATCTTACCTGGACAGAGAAAATGTAAGGACAGCAAAACCTTGGAGGCCTTTTCCCTCCTCTCTGTTCTAATGCTTTTATTTAAGATTCCACCTCTCCCTTTTCCCTGTTTTCTTTATCCCTGTGCTTTACCACTAGGGTTCTATTTTACAACGCCTGCAAGTAATCCTGTGACATTCACTACACTCCAGTGTCCTCAGATGCTGTGGTATGAAAAGAAGTGAGCAAGGAACCAGCCTACTTACATCTGTGATTGCTTTCTTGGCTTTTTCTTCTGCATTCCGACACTCCTGGAGTGATTCTTCCACTTCATTCTGCATCTGGGAAATGTCACCCTCCAGCTTCTTCTTTTGATTGATCAGGCTTGTGTTCTTTTATTAAGTTTTCCCCAAATGAATAGTGGAAAAGGAGAAAAGTGATGATTAGAGACAATTCCTCTAAATACCATAGCACACCAAGGCTTCCTGATTTTTGCCACTTCTGGATTACTCAGAGCAATATTTGGGAATATGTAGTAAGGGCTGCCTTGACTAGCATAGGTAGCTTCAAACTGAAGAAATATTAAAAATACTCTCACAGCTGTAAATATTCAGATTTTGATTTAGATAAAATAATAAGCAATAGGCTGAAATAGAAGAATTAATAAGGCTGTTCATTTTGGTAAATTAATGACCCTTAATCAGCCAGTGAGGTGATTAAAACAACATCACCAATGGGCTGGAGAAAACAATGCAAAACATTGACAGCCTGTAGCACATTTTTATTTCTTTATGACTATCATTTGGTGAAGAGAAGCTTTGGGTTTTAGTAAAAATGCTGTCCCCTCTGTGGCAGCCTAGAAATGGCAGTGTCCACCTGGACAACGCCCAAAGACTGATTTCACTGGAGACCTGCAGGCACAGAGGGCACTTTGCTGCAGATGGGTCCCTGTGGTTTCCTGCCCTGCATCATCTCCCTGTTGTGAGAGCCCAGCCCTGCGGTTTTCCCTGCTGAGTAACATCACAAAAGCAGTGCCTGCATTCTTTCCATTCTTTCACTGTCTAGGGCATGGCTTAACTAAAGCAGGAAACTGGTTTCACAGCAGGGAAGAATAAAGGAAATCAAGTCGACTCTTTGTTTTCCATCAGTGTTATTCCTGGAAGCTGCTTAAAGCAGTTGGATGAATCATCTCTTCCAGCTAACATGGAGTCGGGTAGCACATCCCCAGGGTGACTTAACTCTTCTGCCTCATTTTACCTCTGCAGGCATGCCAGGGTGTGTCTGACCTGTGGTGGCCATGGACAAACAGATCAACAGAGAAGGCTCAGGTTAACCAGTGAGGGAGAGGGCACAGAAAAAGCCAACCTGGCTGTGAAGCAGGTTCACACGTTCGGTGGCTTCCAGCAGCTCGTGCTCTGCCAGCTTCCTTGCCCTTTCAGTCTGGTCCAGCAAAGCCCTCAGTTCATCCAGCTCTGACTGGAGAAGATTGTTCCTCCTGTCAGAGACTGCCAGCTGCTCCTTCAGATCTTCATTCACGTGTCCTGAGTCATCCAGCTGCACCTGAAGCTCCTAAAATAAAACATCCCATTTCAAGCCTCTGTCCTTATGGCAGAGAAACACAGATTGCAGTGGCTACCTGGGATCAACCTCAAGAATTTCAGTGCTTTTAAAATTTATTATACTCCTATTTTCTTTCCAAACTGTAAGCTGAATAGCTTTTGTGGTATGTAGTGCAATGGAGGAAAAAAAACCTGTGTTCTCAAATCTCTCAGAGCTCTCTGAGAAGAGGTGCCTTGGCAAGAAACACTTTTTTAAAAGCTATTACAAATGTTGACACAAACAACAAAGCTGAATATACACACAGTCCCTGTACTCCAAACAACCCACTTGCTCTCTGTTTCTTTTAAAAGCCTTGCAAGCTCACAGGAAAATCACAGGCTTTTTGTTCCTCATGCTGTAGCTTTCTGCCCCTGCAAGAGGCTGTAGCCAGCAAGGGTTTTATGACTGGATCTCGTCCAGCTTGTATGCAAGTCTGAGAAGAAATCCACATTTCAGTATGCTCTTATGCCAGACATGATCACCAAGGCTTTCACTTTACGTTGTTGGGAGTAGCTTCTCTCTTAATCACCATCACCACCAGTGGTGTGTTCTGTGCTAAGGAAACCCAGCCTGTGAGTGCTTGGGGGGCACCACTACCTTTATTTGTGTCTGCAAGACTCGTGCTGACTTGGTTGCTTCTGCAGCATGCCTATTAGCGTGGCTGAGCTGGATTTCCATCTCATTGAGGTCCCCTTCCATCTTCTTCTTGAGCCTGATGGCCTCATTTCTGCTGCGGGCTTCAGAATCCAGGGTGGACTGCAGCGAGTCTATGGCACGTTGCTGGTTTCTCCTGGAAAGGACATGAAGGATGGATGGAATGATTTCCCTCTCTGTTCAGGGACATAGAAGTACTTGCAGCAGTACTTCACTTTCTGAAAGTGTCTCCCTTACAGAAATAGGGTATTTCTGATGGGCATAGGTAGCACTCATACACAGCATGCATAGTTTGCAGTGCCTCACTGCTGTCTAACTGGCTGGTGTGCTTCACCCTCAGCTAAATCCTGATCTGTAAGCACCTCTAGAATCCTTCTGTATTTCCTTTGGCAGCACTGGAGCAAGGAGTGCTCTCAGAGCTCTTGTAAACACAAGCAAGTGTGGATTTGAACCTGACAGGGAGCACTTCCAGCCTAACAGTCACTTAGTAAAATATTTACTGAATAATTTCCTGGTATGATTTACATCTCAGCCTTTTGCTGAAGGCATTAGTGGAGGGGATTAATCAAAGTGAAGCTTGTTTTTTACGTTCTAAGCTCTAGGTGCTCTTTATAGTAAATGGCATGTGTAAGCTACAATTTATTGTGTCTTAAAATAGATGTTGAAAAAACTTTTCTTGTGCTAATTATAAGGGGATTGATTAATTAATACAAATCTGTGTTACGGACATCTGAATTTACTGAATTTAATCACTGAAGTGATTAAACCCACCCAGTTGACAGCCTGGTCCCCTTGGGAAAAGCAGCTTAATGTCAATTTAAAGACAAAGCAGATACAAACAGCCAAATTTTCTTGATTCTGTAACAGAGAAGTCCT